ATATCATTAACTTTAAACTTTTTTCCCCTCATAAAATTCAACACCCATGCATGATGAAACTCTCAGAAAAACAAGAAGAAAGGAGAATTTTCTCAACTTGATAAAGAGCATCCAAAAAAACAAACAAAAACTTAATGGTGAAAGATTGAGTCTTTTCCATTTAAATAGGAAATAAGTTCAGGAATTCAGTGTTTACTATATCTATTTAACACAGTTTAGTGCTAGAAGTTCTATCTAGTGCAATATGGCAAGAATAGATAATAAAGGAAGAGCTACAACTATCCCTATTTGCAGATGATATGATTGTTATGCAAAAAATCTTAAGGAATCGACAAAAATCAAGAACCAATAAGTGAGTTCAGCTAGATCACAGGACATAAGCAAATAAGCAAACAAAAATAACATTTATGTCCATATATTAGCAATGCATATGTGGACAGTGTATTTTATAGAATTAAAATACAATGCTACTTATAATCACTCAGAGAAAAGTAAATACTTAGAAGTAAATCTAACAAAACTTTTATGACTTATACACTAAAAACTCACAATGCTGATAAAAAAAAATCAAAGAAGGTATAAATACATAGGCATTCTGTGTATATGGATAAGAGACTTGACATTGTAAAGATGTCAGTTCTCCCCAAATTAATATTCAGGTTTAATGCCACTCTTATCTAAAACCCACCAATATTTTTGTAAATATAGATAAGATTATTCTAAATTTATTTGGAAAGGCAAAGGAATTGGAATAGCTTAGATAATTTATAAAAATAATAAAGTGGGAGAGATCACTTTAACATATTTCAAGACTTATATAGTACCTTAATCAAGGCTATTTAGTGTTGGTGGAAGGATAGACACACAGCTCAATGGACTGGAACAGAGAACCCTAAAATGGCCTCATACAAATGTGCCCAGTTGATTTATGGAAAAGGTGCAAAAGCAATTCACTGGAGGAAAAAGTATTTTTATCAAATGATGCTAAACAGGCCAAATAAATAAATAAACCTCAAAAGTCTCAGGCCTTTTACAAAATTAAACACAAAATAGACCACAGATTGAAGTGTAAAACTATACTGCTTTTAGGGGAAAAATGTAGGAGAAAATCTTCAAGACCTAGGGCTAGGCAAAGAATTCTTAGACTTGATACCAAAACCTTAATTTATAAAAAAATTTGATAAATTTGATTTTATTAAAATGAAATACAATTGCTCTGCAAATGACCCTGTTAAAAAGATGACAAAAACAAAGCTACAGAGTGTGTGTGTGGGGGAAGGGGGAGGGAGGGAAGGGGGTGGGGAATTTACAAACCAAATATCTCTGTCCAGGGACTAGTATCTAGAATACTAGTATATAAAGAATTCTCAAAACTCAACAGTAGAAAAACAATCCAATTAGAAAACAGGAAAAAGACATGAAGAGGATATAGAGATGGCAAATAAACATATGAAAAGATGTTCAACCTCTTTAGCCATTAGGGAGATGCAAATTAAACACATCTAGCAAAATACCTAAAATAAAAAATAGTGACAACACCCAGTGCTGGCAAGGATGAGGAAAAAGACGGGTCCCTCAAACATGCTGGTGGGACAAACTATTTTGGAAAACAGCTTGGCAGTTTCTTAAAAAGTAAAACGTGCCCAGCAACCGAATTCCTGAAAATTTATCACAGAGAAATGAAGACTTGTATTCACAGAGGAACCTGTACATGAATGTTCATGTTTTTATGTAAGCCCTGAACTAGAAATAGCCTCATGTCTTTGAATGTGTGGATGATTAAACAAATGGTGATACACCCATATCATGAATGTTACTCAGTAATAAAAAGAAATAAACCATTGGTATATAAAGGGGAGGAAATTCAAACCATAAAATGATAGAAGTGATGAGTAGACCAATGGTTGCCAGGAGTTAAGGAGGTATGTATGTGGTGGGCAGGGATGGGTTAGGAGGGAATGGTTAGTAGGGAAAGTGCAACATAAGGGGTTCTTATGGTGATGGAATGTTCTGTATCTTGACTGTATCAATGTCGATATCCTAGTTGAAATCTTGTACTATAGTTTTAAAAGATGTTACTATTGAGGAAAACTGTGCAAAGAGCACCTGGGACCTCTGTATTGTTTCTTATATTGACACTAGAGGCCCGGTGCATGGAATTTGTGCACTTGTGGTGGGGGGTCCCTCAGCCAAGCCTGCACCCTCTCCAATCTGGAACCTCACAGGGGATGTCCACAGGATCGGGCCTAAACCAGCAGTCAGACATCCCTCTCACAATCCAGAATTGCTGGTTCCTGACCGCTTGCCTGCCAGCCTGATTGCCCCTAAACATTTCTGCCTGCCAGCCTGATCACCCCCTAACCACTCCCCTGCCGGCCTGAATAACACTAACTGCTCCCCTGCCAGCCTGATTGCCTCCACCTGCCGTTGCCTGCCATCCTGGTGGCCCACAACTGCCCTCCCCTGGAGTCCTGGTTCTTCCTACGGCCCTCCCCTGCTGGCCTGAGCTCACCCCCAAAGGCCCTCCACCTGCCAATTTGATTCTGATTGGTCGGTTTCTATAACAGTCAGTGTCAAAAGCTTTGCCTCCTAAGCAGCCATTGGCTCCTCACAGTTGACCCAGATTTGGTTCTGATTGGTCAGTTTTTATGCCAGTCAGCATCTTTGGGCCTATCAATGGGGCCTCATCAGAAAGGCAGGCTTATCGGCAGCCTCGGTTGAGGCCTGGAGAGAAATGGAAGCATGGCTGCTGACCCGGAGTGGAAAGAAAGAGGCAAGTGCTGATCAACAGCTTCCACAGAGGCTATGAATCAGATCCTGTTCTCTCTTCAGGCCTCTCTTTGGGCCTGATTTGCAGTCCCCTCAGCAGTCAGTGCTGGGTCACTTTGCCTACAGCCATAGCAGTCAGTGCTGGGTCACTATGGCAAACCAGCTCTGACTGCAGGACTGACTTCCAGTTGGCTGAGCCTCCCAGTCATTGTGGATGTGATGGACCCAGGGTTTTTATATATTAGGATATGAATCTATAACTATATCATAATAACAAGTTTAATTTTTTTAAAGGAGCATTTATAGGACAATAGGAGAATTATAAACACTGACTGGATTTTTTTTGTGGGATAGTGGCATTGTTTTTTGTTTTAAAAGGTAGTCTAGACTTGTAGAGGACTCATACTGAAATATTTGCAGATAAAATGTCTAGAATTTGCATTAGATAATCCAGATTTGGGGATGGGCAGGTGAGGTGGGAAAGGCAGATAGGCATAAAAAGATGCTTGCTAGAGCTGGATAATAGGTGCATGAGATTTCTTAATGTTACACATTACATGTGCAGTCACGCTGTGGGAGTCAGTGTGATACAGTAGTTAAGCCACTGACTTTGAGACAACTGGACCTGGTTTGAACCTTGGCTCTGCTACTTATTAGGTATGGGCCTTTGGCAAGTTACCTAACCTCTCCGACCCTCAGTGTTCACATTCATAAAGTGGGGATGATATCTCATTAGGAAGAGTGTTGGGTGAGGGAAGAAAATGTCTTCATGCAAGGGACTGGGAGAGAGAGAGAAGACAATGCAGGAGCCCAAGTTGAAGGTGGAGATCCAAGGTTAAGTTGGGCAGTGTCTTGGAATCTAGAAAAGGATCCCAAAGAGTTTTAAAATTATAACAACTGAACCCTGGCCAAATGGCTCAGTTGGTTGGAGCGTTGTCCGGTATAACAAAGGTTGTGGGTTTGGTTTTTGATCAGGCACATACCTGGGTTCCCAGAGGCAATCTCTCTCTCTCTCTCTCTCTCTCTCTCTCTCTCTCTCTCTCTCTCTCTCTCCTTTCTCATTCCCCCCTTCCTCTCTCAAAATCAATAAGCATAGCCTCAGGTGAGGATTAAAAAAGAATTGTGACAACTGAAAAGAGGTCATTAGTCTAAGGCCATACCACCCTGAACGTGCCCAATCTTGTCTGATCTCGGAAGCTGAGCAGAGTCGGGTCTGGTTAGTACTTGGATGGGAAAAGAAGTCATTAGGCTTGTGCTCAGAGCATCATTATGCTGATAATGGCTTGTTTTCAATGGGAACCGTGATGAGAAGCAGGTGGATAGAGAGTGCTGGCAGCAAGTGTGCCATACTCTCAGACCTTGAAGGGATGGTGCAGTGGGAGCTCCAGAGGAAATGTGTGTTTAGGCAGGTTAAAGAACAGAGAGAAGGGACCACTGGGACAGTTGTGAGGGGTTCAGGAATCCCAAGAGCAAGATGGAAAAGAAGTCCCTTTTCCATTCAGATTGGGCCTGCTACCAAAGCTCTTTTATCTGCCTTGATATCTCCCCCTTCCTATACATGAGCTTCATTTTATACCCATTCAAATAGCTATTTAAAACAATAACATTATAGGACAATTGGGAATTACCAGTGCTGCTAGATTTTTTAGTGTTATAGAATCTGGGGCTGTCAGGCAGGCCCTCAAGTATATTCATTATCCATTAGGTGTACCTATGCATTGTGTAAGCTAACTATGTAGGTTGCATGTGTGTATTATTACTCCAGAATGACCAGTCTGTGATTGACTCACTGACACCCACACAAAAGGCATCTGTGTTCAACCGGGAAATCCTTAGGAGGAAGGTTTCCCCATCTATGGCTGTAAAGCTGTGGCTCTTTTTCTCAGTCATCATGGACTGAAGGACTCAGATAATGAGTCTGTTGAGGCAAGCTTTGTTAGGTTGATGCTGAACACCTGAAAACTTCCCTGACCTCTTCCCTATCAAGACTGCACTGACTCAGAGGACATCCTCCATGTGCTAAAGCTGCAAACTCCTCTCCCAGTGGAGGACTGAGTGGGCTGCTGAACCTGGTCTCTGCTCATTTGCTGTGAGGAAACAAGAGTCCCCAGTGAACTTCAGGGCAACTCTACCCGCTGAACCAGCAGCTACCCCAGCAGGAGTGCCCCAATCCATTCACCAAACCACTGGGGTTGACATGGTGCCCCGAACAGAAACCCAGAATGCATAGGAAGGCTTAAGCAGTGGAGCTCAACTTTATTTAGGGGAGCAATTCACAACTACTGCAAATGGACTAGTTTTAAAAAGCTTTCGACCTCCATATAGCTCTATCAACATTCACAAAGCCGTAAAAATATATTGTACAATGAACACTTTCTAGAGCATCGTGCTAGTTTATAAACTTGTTGATAAACAATGCAAAATATGATTTACAACAAGATATAGTAAGTTCAAAATTTAAATACTTAATGTATAATTCTAAAACTATCATCATATGTTTTTCCAGGTAAAGAAGACTAGTCATTATAAAAATATATAAATTCAAAGTCAGTACTAAAACACTTAATCCTATAAAAATACCCTTTACTATTAAAATTATTCATTTCTAGATTAACATTATTAACAAAAGTTACAGTCTTAAGTTTCAGGAAATATCCACTATGTCAGATGGTCCACGTAAAACAGACATGTGAAAGAAGCTTCAAGGCATGGTTATCAACCTGTCTTAGTTTTTAGAGATGGATGACATATGTAATCATGTTGCATATTAATGGCACAATTATTCTATAAAACATTAATTCAGGTACCTATGTATTATGAGAGCCATTTATAAACACAGTCTCTAGCCTAGAGAGAGGGTCCTTAGGAGAAGATTCCAGTTTTGTTAGCAGCTGGCTACACAGCACTCTGAAATGTCTAACTTGGAAAACCAGTGGTTGCATTCTGACCACTGTCTGAAATCAGCTCATTCATTTCATTTTGCTTACTCTCCTTTAGGGCATGACTGGGGTGGTTTCTTTGTGTCTGGGCTCTTTTTGATTTCCTGAAACACACTTTCAGCAGCAGGTAGCACAACTCAGCCACATTGAGTAGCATGCAAATCACCGAGGCAGAGATCATAAAAATGGTGAACACGGTTTTCTCCGTAGGTCTAGAGATGAAGCAGTCAACAAGGTTGGGGCAAGGATCAATCCCACATTTCAGCACCCAGGGCAGGTGGTACCCATTGTAGAGAAAGTAAAACACATACATAAAGGAAGCTTCAAAGATGATTCGGAAAAATATGCTGCTGGTGTACGTCCACCACAGGGCTCCCTCGATCCGAACCTTCTGCTTTTTAATGTCTTCCAAGTCTTTGAATTCATTTCTCTTCTCTCCTCGTCTGAATTTGCGGGCGGCCTCCTGCCGGTAGTAGGCAACGTGCATCGCCACAAGCAGGGCTGGGGTGGAGACAAAGATGAGTTGCAGGGCCCACAGCCGGATGTGGGACACTGGGAAAAAGTGATCATAGCATACATTTTTGCATCCCGGTTGCAGAGTGTTGCAGACAAAGTCTTCCTGTTCATCACCCCACACTTCCTGAGCAGCCACCACGAGGATCATGACACGAAAGATGAAGATGACAGTGATCCACACCTTCCCGATGCTGGTGGAGTGTTTGTTCACACCCCCGATGAAAGTGTGCAGGGTGCCCCAATCCATTGTATTGGTTTATTCCTAAACAGACAAAGGGGAATTAACAGAAAGTTCCTTTGAAGAAATACAATAGTATTAGTTATATTACAGACTGAAGCAATTTTTGCTTAAAGTGTGTTGTGATAGTTATAATTGCAACCCCTAAACTGCTGGTAGGAGGTGTTCTGGGGAGGAATGCCCAGCCTAAAGACATTCAAAGGTATTTATTAATTAATTAATTAATTAATTTATTTATTTATTTATTTTACCAGAGATAACTTTCAAGGGGATTTAATGTCATCTTCATTCAACTGACTTTAGATTATATAATAGGTCACTGTTTAACATGAATACAGGAACTCAGGTAATTAAATTTCCTTCCCCAGTTCCCATGAAATCACTGTGGTTCTAATTGCCCAGAGTGCACAGAGGGTCCATAGAAGGTTATAGTGATTAAATGGTTTATCCAAGAAAAAATATTATTCATTGGAATGAAATAATCTGGTTTACCATACAGACTAAGAAGAGAAAGTAAGAAAATAAATATTGGTTAACTTACACAATATATTTATATTTATTTCTATCCTGAATATCATGCCATCATCGGGGGTTCTTAGAAAACCTAAGGCCGGCCTCTTCTGAAAGAGAACCATAACTTTCTAAAAGGTGCTCACTTGTTCTTCCTTGTACTAAGCAGGCTGATGATGGCCTTCCCTTCCCAGCAGGTACCACCACACCAACAGTTGTGGTGAAGGACTCATGCCACTGCAACAACGAGCCTCACTCCTTCTTAGCTCCCTGATTTAATGTCCCGGGAGAAAAGGACTTCTTGCAGAAACTTTTGATACAATTCAAGCAGACGTCTTCCACGTTACCACACAAAACTGAAAAGTTGGTCAGCAACTTCCTTGAAAATAAAGTGATGAATAATGAACACTTCGAGAGTCTTCTGAAAGTGAAAGGTTCTCTCCTCAGAAAAAACCCACCCTTACAATTTTTTAGACCCTTTAGAGGAGGAGGGAGTCATCAAAGTCCTTCTGCCAACCTATCTTAGACTTTCTTGAACTGCAGTCAGGATTCTTCCCAGGCTAACTTCCTCACCTGCCATGAGTTTGCTGGCAGTCACCATGATAATGGCAGTGGCACAGACATAGTGTGTGTTAATGTCAAAATGATGTTTACAGACACCTCTCATGTCATCAGCAAGTTAACTGTCTTTCCATAGTTCATTTAATAACCATACCCTAACATTTTATTTAAGGAATATTTTATCCCTCAGAAGGAATAGCCTTATAAGCAGGATATTCATGCCAAATAACAAGGCTTCCTAGAAGAAACTCAAGGTTAGGCTAGAAGAGATTAACATGCTTGCTCTCTGGGAGCCCACACCTGAAGGGTTGTTTTTGTTCATATCACATCAAGAAAGACACTGGCAGGGGGACTCCCAAGATGGCAGTATGCACGGTGGTGGTAGCCAAAGAGTGTCACCATGGAGAATGAGCTGAAGTTCTACATAGTACACACATCCCTGGATGTGGTGGATGAGAATATCTCTGCAATGGGGAAGGCTCTGGTGAACAGAGGGAGCTGGAGCAGTTTAGCTGGAGCACAGCTCTCAGTCACAAGGCAACAGGAGGATCTAGGACTAAGAATTGAATCCAAGATAGAATGAACAGAAAGCCAGGATTTTTTCTTTTAAAAGGGAGCTCTACCTGGGCTTGCTGTACCCCATAGAGCAGTGTTTCCCAAAGTGCGGTACGCGTACCCCTCGTGCTCAAGAGAACATAGAATTAGGCGCAGCTAAGCACGGTGGGGGTATGCGTTGCACTGGAGTTTGGTGGGGATATGCACTGTATGAGGGGTACTCAGTGGTAGGAAAATTATAGAAGGGGTACACATATGTCAAAAGTTTGGGAAATACTGCAGAGGACTACAAGGTATATGGCTACATGACCAAGTCCAAGGTGAAGTTTGTATGGTGGTGGATGCTTCCAACATAGTGCATATTGACAATGAGATTTGCAGTATGTTACAGAAGTTGCTTGTTGATTGAAGAGAAGTGTTTTGTACATAGAAAAAGAAAAAAAAAAGAAAGACACTGGCAGGCTGATGACCTGCTGGAGTGTGGCCAGGTGGCAAAGCCTGGAAAAAAACTCTTGGGAGTGGACACTGAGGAGCTGGAGCAGTTTAGCTGGAGCACAGCTCTCAGTCACAAGGCAACAGGAGGATCTAGGACTAAGAATTGAATCCAAGATAGAATAAACAGAAAGCCAGGATTTTTTCTTTTCTTTTTCAATTACAGTTGACATTCAATATTATTTCATATTAGTTTTAGGTGGATAGCATAGTGGTTAAACATTTATATAATTTAAAAAGTGATCCTCTCAGTAAGTCTAGTACCTATCTGGTATTATACATCCTTATATTGTACATTACATCATTCTGACATTTATTTTATAACTGGAAGTTTGTTACCTCTTAATTCCCTTCATCTATTTCAGTAACCCCCTCAACCACTCCCTGCTCTGGCAACCATCAGTCTGATCTCTGTATCTATGAATCTATTTCCATCTTGTTTGTTCATTTATTTTGTTGTTTTGTTCTTTAGATTCCATATATAAATGAAATCATATGAATTTGTCTTTCTCTGACTGACTTCACTTAGCATAAATATCCTCTAGGTCCATTCATGTTGCTGCAAATGGTAAGATTTCATTTTTTTTATGGCTGAGAAAAAATGAAATATCCTATCTAATAAAAGAGTAATATGCAAATCGACTGTCACTCCAATACACAAGATGGCTACCCCCATGTGGTCAAAGATGGCTGCCTCCATGTGGACACAAGATGACTGGTAGTTGTGAGTGATCAGGCCAGCAGGGGAGGGCAGTTGGAGGGGACCAGACCTGTAGGGGAGGGCAGTTGGGGGCAACCAGGCCTACAGGAGAGGGCAATTAGAGGCGACCAGGCTGGCAGGGGAGGGCAGTTGGGAGCAACTAGGCCTTCAGGGGAGGACAGTTGGGGGGGGGGGGGGAGGACCAGGCCTTCAGGGGAGGGAAGTTAGGGGTGACCAGGTTGGCAGGGGAGGGCAGTTAAGGGCAATAGGGTGGGCAGGGAAATAGGCATCAATCAGGCTGGCAGTGGAGTGGTTAGGGGGTGATCAAGCTGGCATACCACTTACCTCATGGCAAGAAGCGGTTAGGGCCATCAGGCAGGCAGGTGAGTGGTTGGGAGCCAGCAGTCTTGGATTTGAGAGGGATGTCCGACTGCCCGTTCAGGCCTGATCCTGGTGGGCAGTCAGACATCCCTTAAGGGGTTTTAGATTGGAGAGAGTGCAGACTGGGCTATGGGACATCCACTCCCAGTGCACAAATATAACATATATATATATATATTTTTTTTCTTTTTTTCTCTCTTTATTTGTTCATCTGTCAATAGACACTTAAGTTTTTTCCATACCATGGCTCTTGTAAGTTAAAAATAGAAATACCTTACCTTGGCCAGTTTTCTCAGTGGTTAGAGCATTAGCCCACAGACCCAAGGGTACGAGTTTGATTCCTGGTAAAGGGCATGTACCTGGGTTGCTGGCCCGATGCTGGCCTGGGTCAGGACATATGCAGGAGGCAACTGATCAATGTGTCTTTCTCACATCAGTCTCTCTTTCTCTCTCCCCACCTTCCACTCTCTCTAAAAATCAATGGAGAAAACACCCCCAGGTGAGGATTAACCAAAAAATAAAAATAAAAATAGAACTACCTTATGACTCAGCAATTCCACTTAAAAGTATTTATCTGAAGAAATCCAATTTGAAAAAATATATGCCCTCCCATGTTCATTGAAGCATTATTTACAATAGCCAAGAGAAAGGATTTTTTTTTTTTAAAGAAAAAGCTGAGAAAAATGAAATAGGTTCAACTCTTTAGACACAAACTCTTTGAAGCTGTGGCTTCTTGTACTTAAAACACTCAGTCAGAGGCTGAGTAAGCACGGCCGGATAATGCAGAGGGTTCACCGGGGAGGGTGATTTCAGGTTCTACAATTAAACCCTGCCTTCACATACCACTTACCTCATGGCCTAAGAGATGTCACTGCCCACATTAAATTAACTTTTGATTTAAAAGACTAATTTTAGACAATATGAATTTGTACAATTAATTTTAGTCTCTCATGGAAGTCATTATAATACATTTTCCTAGTTCTTACTGTTCTATTCTGGAAGTCTTTCAGGATGTGATGGGTGGTAGGGAAGTGAAGAAATATATATCTTGATGTTTCAATATATTTTACAACAGATGATCCCCTAAGAGGTCAGTCCTGTTTGTTTATAAAATGAGATGTTTTCTAATTAACTAGGAAGCATTTCCCCTTGAGGTTTAGTTAGCTAAGCACCCAATCAGCAAATATTTGATTTACCAAAGAGTACAGTTCACATTTTCTCAAGACTTCCAAAGTGCACAGCATTTAAACTCCCCTGCAGTTATAAAAGAGAAAAGGCTATCTGCGTCTGAGTTCTCTATCACCTGCGTGAACAATGGCACACCCTGTGTCACCTATTACCTGCCCTACTAGGAAGCAAACCAATCAAGCTGAATGGATGAATTTGGAAAGGCTAAGGCCAGGGGTTGAGGTCAGGAGGTCACGATTTCCTCACAAGAATATGGTCCTATTTCCTCACAAGAATATGGTCCAAGAAGTAGGATCCTTGATCTCTACTCTTTGGAGCGTCTCCTTCTTGAAAAACAGGAGCAATAGTGACAGCAATAGCTTTATTTCTTTTTTTACTTCTCTGGTTCCCAAATCACACGCTCTCAAAGAAGTAAAGCTGAACAGAAAATAATCTATTATACAACTATTTTTGAGTTTGAGTCAGCAATTTACCTACACTTTTAAAGGAAGGAAAAAAAATGAGATGTCTAGAGCACTAAAAAAAGTGAGTGGTTAAACCACAGTATGTGTGTCTAATCTCCTGGTCACACAGACAATTAATTGGGCTAAAACAAATCACCTCACTGGCAGTACCTTCCTACAGGATCAACCAAGCCCTATTACCTATCACATGATGGGAATGACTGGACAGGAAAGGCTGTTCACAGCCTCCATCGCTCTGCTGCCCTCCTTGCTCCTCAGGAAGAGCACTTGGTGAACAAGCACCAGCGTTTTCTACAGTGAAAGTTTCCCTTTCCATTCTTTTGTTTAGTCTCTATTGTTGCTGAGGGGCTTCCCAAGAAGCCAGGGCATCTGTCCAGCACACCATGCTCCCAGTGCAGGCTAAAAGCAGGAGGAGAGCTCCTCTCACAAGTATTAGGGGAGAGACCCAGGGGCACGGCCCGCCCCAAACTTCCTGACACAATGCTGCAGTCACAGGTAAGGCCTTGTGACCTCATGACACTGCCCCTCCCCAGGGGCTGAGAGAGAGCAGATCTGAAAGGAGGCCCTGGTTGCACTTGCCCCTGCTCATCTGACCCCTCGGTGGGTGAGGCGCACCCTGGCTGGGGGAGGAGAGGCACATTACTGCCGGCCCTCAGTTTCTCCCCTGTAAACACACAGCCTGGGTGAGCTGTCATGAACAGTGTGGCTAGAGGACATTTGAAGGCCCAGTACTTTTTGAGAACTGCTTTCCAAACTTTTCTCTTTGGGACCCTTTGCCATTGGTATCAATGAACAAAATACCTCTTTCCTTTTAGGCTTCAGGCAGGCTGGCGGAAGCCACTGGGAGCAGCTTTTTCAGGAAAAAGTAAAATATTAACCCTCTCTCTGCAACTCAGAGAGGTTTAACTGGCCCCTTTCGGCTCTCTTTTAAGGAAAGAATGGAGATATGATTAGAGTCTATGGTCTTCAATGTGTGAGAGTGTGGTCCCACTCAGACAAACAAAGGTGGATTGTATTCAGGTTTGTGATATATCTAACCATCCACAGTGCACGCTCACTTCTAAAGCTCCAGTTCCAAATATTTACCTCTGAAAACAAACCATTGACCTCACTTCTGATGATATGCATGGTATTATGAAGACAGACTGTTCTTCCCTTTTACAATTCAAAGAATTTAAATCTATTAGCATTCTGCTTGCTTCAGTAATGGAATTTATTGATTGTTTCAAAATCTCTTATTTAAGAATTTAATCGTAACTAGTTTGCTTAATAATGGCATTTTAGTTTCACTACTGACAGAACCAAAACTAAAGCCATGCTGTGTTAACCTCAGCACACACCATGAGGTGCAAATGTCTTTTTGATACCTTTATCCTCTCTGGATGACCCTTTCAAGTCATTCAGCAAATATCGGATAGACTTAGAACGGAACACATTTCTCACGATTTCCACCTTCGTTTGGAAGTTGAGAAGTCTGAATTGATAAAGGCAGTGATGACTCAAGTGAGCCTGACTCCCAGGCCTCCTGAGAGCCTGTCACAAGAGAAGAAGCAGGGCAAGGTTCCTTCCTCAGAGCTCAAGTTTTCTTCTTCTACGTCATGTGATTGCCTAGAAGCCAATGTAATGGACATGAGTATGAATCTTTATGCAGCTTCTGGATGTAGGTGAGGAAAAATAGTTGATGTGGCCATATTCCTTTAACTCCTCCCACATGTCTACTGCATGACATTTGTGGGTAGTTTCTCTTCATCCTCAGAATTGTTATGAAGAAAGTCTGGACACTACCAATTCACTGATGTTCTGTAGTTTGAATTCACAATAAAATAATAAAAATAAAATTTTTAGTATAGTTTCTTTGTCTTTACCAAAATAATGATACTACCACCAACCAAAACCTCAAGTTCATTCCCTGAGCATTTAAAAAAAAAAAAAAAAAAAAAAAAAAAAGGAGTTTGAGAATTGGATATGCTTCCTTATCCCTCCCCCCCAAATTAGTACGCAGTCTAAAAAAATCTCAAATTCTCTTCTTAACCCAGAAGAATCTATACCTTGTCTCATGAAATTTTAAATCATCCAAGTGACAAGCTGATAGATGGTTTTTAAGTTTAATGACTCAAAACTTTATCAACTGTCCTTTCAAACTAATGGCCAGTGACAAAATGGATTTAGGATTTATATACTTCTTCAAAATCAATTCAATAAAAATGAAAATGTTTTTGTGTTTGGGGTCTAAATATAAAAATGAACAGTTCATAGAATTACATGTATTTCTTAATTCATTTAAGAACTCAAAGAGTTAAACATTTTTTTTTTCTTCTATTTAAGCAGTCTCTGTTCATTCAAGTTAACCTGTGTGCTTCCCAAACATTTAAGTCCAAACAGAGTAAAGTGACCTTGGGAATAAAACAAAAAAGGCCCTTTGGGGACCCATCCATTTTAATTGGTCAAACAATTAAAACAGAAACCTTCACATATGACAATGCTGCCATGGGAGGGGTCGGGGTCATGGCCTCATGGACCATGGAGCTTGGATAGAACATTAATCTTCCACAATTTTATTCTACTTAACATTTTTGCTAATGAGTACAAACCACTCACAGCTCCTGGACTAATCAGACTGTGTCAAAGCTACATGGTGAGTGAGGATTTGCAGGTTAGAATTTTCTGTCTCCCACTATAGTTGTGCTCCTTTCCAATGCTCTTAAAATTCAGCAGAAAAAAAAAAAATGTAAGAAAAAGAGAACAATCTGGGAGCAGATTTTGTTTTATAATAAAACCACCAGTGAGGCAATTGGGTGAATAAGGGTCTTTTGGGTTTTGGATCCCCTCCCCCCTATGTTACAGGCTGGAGTGTTGATATTCTGGCTCCTAGGCCCCTCTGCTCTCCTTGGCATAGTTCAAACAACGTCCCCAAAGTGGCAGCCAAATCCAAACAACAGACAAAGCTCTCCCAGGGGCAGTTCTGAGCAGCATCCTGCATTCTAAGGGAGCGGCACTGGGGCAGGACATTTTCTTCCAGAACACTAGTTAGATCTGTTAGAACGGAGGCGAGAAGACACTTGTATGGCATATAGTCCACCAAGGAAGAGAACCAGGGTGTGTGCCTAAATTCAAGCAAGCCCTAAATGCACAGCGAGGTTCCACCCAGGGGGCAGGACGGCGCTGGGCCCATGTCCCGCAGGGGCCGCAGCCCCAGCCCCTCCAGGTCCAAAAGCTGCATTCCCACAGCACTCACCTCGGCCAGGGTCCTGCTGTCCAGGAAGGGGGCCAGCCCAGTCAAAAGGCAGCAATGACAGTGACACTGGACTGACTGCTCTTCACCTGACAGGAAGTACCTTCTGGTGCCTCCACCTTTTAACTGAACTGTGTCACCAATGACAATTACTGCTGTCCCGTAATTGTCACCTGCTTTTCACAAGTTTCTGGGGCGCACATCACACAGTCATACGGGTCAGTCCTGCCTGGGACCTAAGGTCTGGCCACGAGCCTCCTGGCTTTCCTGTCCCCCAGATCTGAATGGGACTTCGTCAGTCCCGCCAACACGAAGACAAGCCCAAACGCAGCAAAGGAACCGGGGAAAGGGGCACCGGTCCCAGCCCGCCCCTCGGGCGCACGTGTGATGCAGCCATAAACCTGTTGTGCAGGCCGAGGGGACTCTGGAGTAAAAGCCAGACCCGTCCGTCCTGCTTCCTCGGCTCGCAGGGGCCGCGGGATGCGGATCGGGCTGATAAGGTCTCCCCGGCAACTCGCGGGCACCCACTGGGAGGCCACGGGGCCCGCCGGAGTGGTCGCCAGCCAGGGCGACAGCTGCCCACACCCCTCTGGGGGCGGGGGCTCCCCCGCGGTGCCCCCACCCAGCCCGCTTACCTGCGACTCTGCGCGCGGCGCCCTCGCGGCGGCAGGGCGAGCGGCGGTGTCTGAGCCGCAGTCAGCGGGGCCCCCACCTCGGCGCCTTTTAACCGCGCCCCACCCCGCCTCTGCCTGACGCCGGGCGCTGCGAGGCCAGCGGCGGGGGCCAGCACGGCCCGCCCCGGGGAGCGCGGGGCGCGGGGCGCGGGGCGCGGGGCCCGGAGAGGGCGCAGGCCAGGCCTCCCGGGGGGCGCTGGGACTAAGGATGGCTTGGGGGGCCCGGTGCCCTGGGCGGGCTCCTCCGTTGGGGGAGCCGAGTGCACGGGCAGGACAGGACCCTCGCTTTCCCCTCCGTCCGGGAGCGGGAGCGGGGCTTGTAGGGCAGGTCCTTTCTGGGGGCGCGAGACAGAGGGTCAGCCAGGCCTGGTCCCGGGGTATGGTGGCCCGTGTCTCCCGCCGGGGAGCTGCTCACCCAGAACCCGGATGTCCTGGGGAGAGGGCTTAGGGGGCCCACTGCCTTTGGGGTCAGGTTCAAGGGCAGGCAGTGTTTTGCCAGGACACAGGGTCCTTGCTTTCTGTACGTCGCCATCCTCTGTAGACCCCCGCTATTCTCACAAGGCCCTCCCCTAGAGAGCAGCCTGGAGGCACAGGGGCTCTTTTTCTCTATCAATTAATGGCCACTTTGAGGAGTTAAAGGGATTATTTGAGTTATCTCCAACCTTTGAAGCTATCCTAGGGGAAGCAGAGTGGGCTTCCCTCAGCGCCACAGGCCACCACGTGGAGACTCTGGCTCTTTTCCAGACAGGGCTCTGGTGTCTAGGGTGGCACAGGGGCTGGTGCAGGGGCTGATGGGGTGGAAATGTGGGGAGCTATTTAGATACCGAGCTTGACAGATTGGAAGCTATCTTGACAAGAGATGTGTAACTTGCCTCCCACAGAATTGGTTGGTCATTTAAAATGTCCTTACCTGAACCATATGCTACTTGTTAAGTCATATTTTCTCATGTAACAGAATTAGTGGTGGTTCTTAAGATGTCTCTTTCAGGTCGTGAAAGAAGAATCCAGACTTCATGAAGATCCACCTTCTGAAATGTTTTATTAGAGAATAGGTTCTCAGCCAACTACCCCTGAGTCAGGTCAGTTCAGAACACTTTCAGGGGCACCTGCAATGATCTTGCACGTAGGGGTGGAGAGACACAAACACCTGCTTTAAGCTTTTTTGTTTGACAGACTCACTGTCTTACTGTGTCCTGTGCCTGGAATGCTTGGCCAGCCTTCAAGGTTAACTGGTCCTCTCCTGCCCGCCCCCTCCCTTCTTCCCAGCCCCAATATGGCATCTTCCCTGCCTCCTCGCCATCACTCGTCCCAAACAGGTGCTCCAGCCAGGCATATCTGCCTCATAGTAAAATAAGAGCATTTTAAGAGCAGACTACAGTATATACTTATCTGGGGATTATAAACAGTTGAAGCCTTCCTTTGCATTCCCACAGCACCAGGTAAAATGTTTGCACACGGTAGGTGATGCCCATGAGTAGTTGCATATTGATTGGCAAAACCCAGCCAGCATAGCAGATAATCCTAGAAACAACTTTTGCTCCTGAAGCAAGAGTGCCCATGTTTTCACGCCTACAGCTGGTGCCATGCAACACTGTCTTGAGCAGTGGCATTCTGGAACAATGGAAATTGTTGTAGGACCAGTTCAGAAAAGAACTTTGAACCAAAGTTGCCACAGAGGATATGTTGCATTTGCTCAGGTGTCCAAAAGAGGAACTATCTAAAAATTGCAAAAATATCTCTTTTCCTGTTCAGATTATCAATGCTAGCTCCATGGTGCTGGCTTTTTACTTTTTCAGACGTTTCTTAACATCCAGTCCCATTATTCAGTATTCACTTCGCATCAGATGGTCCTGTTGCAGCAGAAATTAAAGATGAGCTATGTGAGAGTTACTGGTATGCTGAGATCTTCATATGAAAACTGAAAAGTTAATTAAACATTTTATGCTAATGCCATCCAAAGGCATCTAGACTGTTGACTGCTTCGTTGACTTGTGTGCCAAAAATGAAAAAAACTTTCAGGAGATTATAACAACCCCACTTACACCATCACATAACTCCAGAAACAAGGCTTTTGCTGACCTGGTTCTGATTGGTGACCTAAATTATTTTTGATTGCTTTCCTCCCAATGCATCTGAAGGATGATTTCTGAGTCCATATGTTTAATCAGCACAAAATGTGTGAAGCGTGGATTTCCCGTTGCCATACCAGGAGGTTTGAAGGAATGATGGTGAGATTTCCTTTTGGAAATCTATAAATTCTCAGTGCCTTTACGTAAAGAATGAAGGGACTCCACCCCTCCCCCATTAGCAGTGACACACAGTGACCAACAGTCGAGTTGCAAGCACAGCACAGGGACACTTCCCTGTAACCGAGACAGTCCTGGCGATGTGGGAAGAGAGAACCGTGCGCTCCTCTTAAATAAAGATGAACACAGTCTCTTTGCTCAACAAAAAAGCCTGCATTGAGCAGGCTTATGTTAGGCTGGGCAAATGAAGGAAACAGTTCCTGTCTGAAGTATGCTAGTGTGATTTTTAAATCTATGTGCAAAAGTCATGTGAGATGCTTTGAAAGGCTAGTACAACTCTGCACAGGTTTCTGGGCATTGAGTTTCATGGGTCTTGCTCAGGGGAGCCCAGGAACTGTCTTTTTATTAAGTAGAATCTTGAGTATTGCTGATACGGTTGGTCTGAGAATCATACTTAGAAACATGTTAGTTATGGATGTTCTTTGCTTTTTGAGTTTTAATTATAGTAAAAATACATATAGCATAAGCTCACCTATTTAACCATTTTAAATTGCACACTGCACTAAGTTGTTTGGTATATTCACAGTTGTGTAGCCATCACTGCTATTTAGTTCTAGAACATTTTCATCACCCCAAAAGGAAACCCATTAAGCAGTCACTCTCCATTTCCCAGACCCTGGCTGCTACTCTGCTTTCTGCTTCTATGGATTTGCCTATTCTGCATACTTTTGTAAATGGGGTCATACATATTTGGCCTTTTGTATCTGGCTTCTTTCATTTATCATGAGGCTTCCAAAGTTCATCCATGTTGTAACATGTGTCAGTATTTCATTCCTTTTAATGGATGAATAAAATGTGACATGTCTATATCACATAATGCTTATCCATTCATCTGTTGGTGGACACTTTTGTAGTCTTGGTTGTGATTGGTGACATGAAATTTATTTGTTTATTGATGAATTCTGAGGTGTGTGGCAGCTGAGATTAATAGGGATTCCCCATGACAAGGAAGATGGCTGGCCTGGCTGGAGTGGGGCTTGCTTTGGGGACAGAGTGGTGAGGCAGGGCCAGAGGGGGGGACTATCAGTCCCGAAGAGGAATTTAAACTGGCTGAGAAATGAGGAGAGGGAGAACAACAGCATCAGGTGACCTGAATCTGGCAATTTTAAAGAATCCACATTCATTGGGAGTTAGTGTGATGTAACTGCCTACCAGCCATTGCCATTTTGGGTGCCATCAATAGAAGTTTGGTGTCTCAGCGAGGAATCTGCTTCCTTCATCCTTTCTAAGCTGCCAGGTCCCACCTAGTATGAGCTATAAGCTACTGAGCCACTTACACCCCTTACTTTTCTAACTTTTAATTTTTTGAGTATTAATTTAATAACTCTATGGGAGACACAAAATGCAGACAGAACAAGCAGTGAGTTTCTATCAGTGGAAGAGTCTCCTAAAGGCTGAATGACCTTCAACCAGGTGCTGTTTAGACATGGGTTAGACTAAGTGGTTTTCTAATCCTGAGAAACACCAATGACACAGTCACCACTGAGGAGAGGAAAAGCTGAGTCAGACATTTGGTTTTGATCCAAATGATCTAGAAGAAAATCATATTTCTTGTCCACTGTCAAAAAGAGATGTTGGTCAAGGAAGCTGACTTGAAAAAAAGTGATGTTTGGAAACCCTGACCATGGGATGTTAGCAAAATGTCATAGGTGGAACATGACTGTATGTCTATTGAACTCTCAATCTGGGAGTCCAGTCTTGTGTCTGACTGGATTTGCCCTCACTCCTGTCTACTCATGTTTTCAGGCCCTGCACGTTCCCCAGCTGTGTTCAGAATCACTCCCACCGCCATGGACTTGCTTGTCCTTCCCTGGTCCTTGCTTCTCTCCAAGTGCTCCAGGAGGGCCTTTCCTTCTGCTCACTCTGGCCCTGCTTTCCTACTCTGCAAGTCTGTTCTCCCTCGCCCCAGTTATAGTTGTATACGTACTTGCTTTACCTTGCCTGCACTTATTTTCTTAATTTGTTAAGACATTTCAGGACAGAACTCACAGCTTACTTATCTTTGTACCATTGTCTCTTCTCCCACCTAGGACCACCACCCTATGAACAAGCCAAACCCCTGCTTCTGTCTACTTGACAGAAAAAACCAATCAGCTTCAAGAGGTGTCAAGTCAGTACTCAGTTCCTGATTGAAGGAGTGAGTTCTCTAAGAAGGACATGGTGGGAGAGAAGGTGGGAG